GGGTATGAGTCTTTTTCGGTTATGCTGTTAAGAGCCCTGAAGTCCACACAGCAACGTTGGGTCCCATCCTTCTTCTGGACTAACATGATGGGAGCTGAACAGGGACTATCTGACTTCTTGACTATCCCTTCCTTAATTACGCCATCCACGACCTTCTCCATCTCTTGTTGCCTTGCTGGAGCTATTCTCCTCAGAGGGATCTTTATTGGACGATGATTGCCTGTGTTTATTCTGTGCTCTACAAGGTCTGTGCAGCCGAGATCGTGATCTCCTTTCGAAAAGACGTCTGCATAGTTCGCCAAAAGTTGCCTAACCTAAAGAGCCTGTGATGATGACAAATGGACTATACTCTTCTTATAGAGGTCAATTAAATGTTCTGGGAGAGAATGTCCTTTCTTTATGGTCGTATTTCTTGCCTTAACATTGACTGGCTCTACCTCCTGGCACACACCCAACAATGCCCCTTCCTTAAGTGTCTGCTCACATTTAGAGAAACTAGCCACTGTTATGGTTACTACTTGATGACCTGCCACAAGTGACCTTCCAATCTTCAAATCCGCTGGCCTGGATGGGGCTTCCACTGCTTCCACAAGCATTGGGCTTCCTTGGGGATGTTCTTTTATTCTACCCCAAATTATCTTCTCTGGCATAGGGGGTATTGTAGTTGACTTAAGTGCTGTGACATGAAAATCAACAGATGCAGCAACACTTACCGGAATTTGGCCTTTGTTGTTCGGTATTAAGTAGTCCAACCCTAATATGCATTGGTCTTCAATGTCAGCCATGTACATTTTGTGTCTGTCCTTGAGCTCAATAGTTACCCACACTGGTGCCCACAACCTTGCATAATGTCCTGAGAGTTTCTCTCAGACAATGGGAAGCCACTCTAGCTGCTCTAGAACTTAGGTATGGAACCTAAAAATCAGTCTGAAGTATACAAGGCTAGGTTTAGGACGAGAATCCGTGCTAAAGGGGAGAGCCTACAAGTGCCGGCACAGGATTTGTAAAGTATGGCACACAAGGCCTATCCAACTGTGCCACCCGATCTCCTCAAGTTATTGCTGAGGGATCAGTTTGTAGATGCCTTGGACAGTCCACAACTGAACATACAAGTAAAGCAAGCACACCCCTCTACCATGCAGGATGCAATGGCCAGAGCTCTTGAATTTGGATCCTACATTAAGTCCAGCACAGAGGTACCAAGACTGGTACAGTAATCAGGATTCAAGGCCAGAAAAGGGCAGCTTTCAGATAAGTTTGAAGGACTTTGCTGGCCCTGTAACAAACCTGGGCAAAAGAAAGCTCAATGCTGGAAACTTCAACACAGGGAAGATGTCACGGCAGGAATGGCTGCTACCCACAAAGGTTGTTGGAACTTTGGAGAGCAAGGACATATGAGGAGCCAGTGTAGAAAGAATACTACCAATAAGTCAGCCTCGGTGAAACCAGTAATGGTTGGTGTTGAGAGACGCCTACCAACCCCTATCGTGAAAGTTCCAACAGCTAGGGGTAAAATGCCAAGCACACATAGTGTCTACGTGACAGGAAAGCTGGATGGCCAAAAGTGCAACTTTGTCATAGATTCTGCATCTCAGAAAACCCTTGTGAGTATCAAGGAGCTAGATCACAAAGGAGTACCAGAAGTCGTACGGAAGCTCTGTGGTGTGACAGGACATTATGCAAGGTTATGGGGACCAGTGTGGGTAACTGTTGAGCTCATGGGTATGAAGGACAGACACAAAGCATACTTAGCTGACATTGAAGACCAATGCATACTATGATTAGACTACTTACTACTGAAGAAGTATGTAGTTAATTTTGATAAAATGACATTTGGGAACAACAAAGACCAAATTCCAGTAAGTGTTAAAAGAGAGGTTGAACTAACCAGGTGTCATCAAGCTGAGGTCAAAGTGACTGAAGGAGTTGATGATCGTGAAGTGGAACCAGGTGTAGATATTAAAGCAGAGCAGGAGAAATACCAAGATTTGAAGCCAATAATTGACTTTCTAAAAGCAAGTGTTTTGCACCCTGCTTGGGAGAAGGTGTCTAGCTTAAGCCCTGTGACAAAGAAC